AACCACGAAATCGTGCAACGAACGATGACTTGGAATCTTCGTTAATTGACTAACTTCTCGTCGTTAAAGTCGACCAGCTGTCTTTTCATTAGTATAATTACCCTTATCCGAATTAATCCTCGAACACCCTTGTCTCTCGTGAAATTTCGATGCAGCAAAGTACCCTGTAGCTTGTCGAATTTCTCGAACACTGTACTTGCCGCGCGTATCCGAAGAATCGATCGAAGAGTCGTAGAATCCTTAGCAGGAGTCGAGCATCGTTGGCCGTGCCGTGGCAGGAGGAAAAGCGAAACGTTGCAAGGAATTAGCATAACAAGATTCCACGGTGTACGTAATGCGGCAACGCCACGGACTTGCCGCAGATTTGCATGGTCCATTTAAATACAATTTCTTTTCCTCGATCAAGAAATTACGCGAATACGGGAGCGCAACCACCCCCTTTGGGTGTGTTGCGCGCCGCAACGTCGAGGCGGATTAAAGGGGCTTGCATTAAAGCCGCCCTCCGAAGAAAAACTCCACGATTCTCCATCGTTCCTTCCGCTTTACTTTCCCACCCTCCCCTGTCCCGCATCTCGCATGCTATGCTAATTAATTCTGCTTGTATATTAATCGCGCTGCCTTTCATGTTGACCGCTCGGACATGACGCACGGTTCTACTTTGCCTCGGCCAGACAACCCCGTTTCCTTTTCTCTTCCTTTTCCACGGGGGAATCAATTTACCCGAGATAAAGACTCGCCCGTTTCTTCGTCGGTCTTTTGTCACGGGGTCGCGTTGTAATTAACAACTAAGTGACTTCTGTTTTTACCTTCGTTTACCGCACCGAGTCGCTCCTAGAAATACATTTCGAATAGGAGAACTTCGCTACTTTCGCATGCGTGCTACTCCGCCGGTGGCTTTGAACTTCCTCTGCGAACTTTGAAAAGGCAACGCGCTTATAACAACTCGAACAACTGGCACGATCGTGAAATCAGTCGAGCCCGAAAGTGCTCCGATTTTTGAGACGGGGATTTTAAATGGTCGAGAGGAAATAAAGTGCGCGATATTCCAGATATTTTTCAGTCAAATTCTAGTAAAGTTGTAATAGCTATAACAACTCAATAGGATTTTCCTCTCTTATTTATGTAAAAAAATTAGCTCACCGCGATATTAGTCGAAAATGTTAATATAATTGAATTTTTCAGTCAAAGTTAATCATGTCAATTTAAAACGATATAGTTATAGTTTAAGAAAGCGTAAAAGCGTATTTCTGAAATTTATTAAGGATTTTTGCATTTTGTCTGACATTGAATACCTACAAATAGCCAGATATCGCGGACGATTCCGAGAGTCGATGACTTCAACGGTGTAATTTTGGCATCAATCGAGACCACTGCTTAATGCAGTGATACACGAGCATTGGTTATATCCTTCGAACCAATTTCGAGGAGCCAAGGACGGGCCAATAGGAGCGACTGCGTCATCGAGTGTTTTCCCATTATTTCAGATTACTCATTAATAATGAAATCGCGCATAGCGTAAATCGTAATGTCCAAATGATTTCGCTCGATTATGCAGTCATTTGAAAGCATTTTTCGGTTTCCGTCGAGTTCGTTTAATCCCCATGCAACGTTCATACCAGTTAAAATTAAACGAAGAATAATGGAAAACGAAATATTCATTGAATCCGTTGAAAAGCAATATTTTCTATGATTAATGAAGCCAAACTGTCTACGCCACCTTATCAGAAATATTAAAAATTTCGCTGCTCGAATATATCGTAAGCTGGGCTTGACAGAAAGCTGTCTGATATTTCAATTCCCCGCTATTTAGGTGAGAATAGCTCTTCCTCTTTGCAATGCGAGCAAATTACCGATGAAATAAACGAACGAGTCTCTAACTCGGTCCACCATCACAGTTCCAGGCACATGTACGCGGAAAAGAATTTTCAAGTAGAATCCTGGAGGCAAGCGGTGCCTGTTAGAAGGAGCAGTCGCTGTTCCAAAGAATTCCCGCGACAATTTCACGCGCAATTACGCGTCTGCAGTTGGAAAATAGTTAGAAAAAGGCAGATCCAAGTTGGCGTATCGGTCCGTATCGATTACCGAATCTCCTCAGCTGCGGAGAATCAAAGGAGAAGAGGCAGCGAATCCCTGAAATTTCCGGTCTTGCTCTCGGCGAAAAGTAAACGGCGCTGTTTCCTCGTAAGGGATCCCAGCGTCGGGACGGCAGAACTACTTCCCCGTGAGAGTTTCGCGTCGTTTTTCACCGCGGGTAGCCGGCGAGCGATAAGCGGAACCCGGAGAAACGCGGCGGAAGATAGAAAACGCCCGACGAATCCTTCGAAACAAATGCTCGGAACGTGTTGGCTTCCACGCGTGTATACGGATACACGGCGCGTTTTCGGCCGGCTGAAGCGATCTGCAAACACGTATCGCAGCCGGGATTACGTGTAAGTATCGCGAACGGTAAAAATAAGCGGGTAGAAGCGGAATTGAACGGAATGGCATCGGAAAGGCGCAACCTCGACGGCCCAGCGTTTGCGCATAGGCGCGCGCGCGCTCTCGTGAATCGACTAACCGGCGAGATTCTGGGTCCACCATTTCGACGGAGATGCAAATGCACTCCTACGTTTGTTTTTCCTTCGCCACGGAGACGCTTAGCCGACGATTTACAGCGGGTGGTGAGTAGCTGGATATCAGGCACACGAAGAGCACCGTATCCGCGGGATTTCGCCATGCGATATATACTTCTTTCTGCCTCGCGCTTATTTAGGCACTCCGTATTTCATGCCGAGGGAACAGGGGGTGAATTCGGATTAGAATGTCTTCGGAACGAAATGATAACGCGGGTCGTATGCACTGCAGTCAGCCATCTCGTACGAGGCCTCTCGAGGAAAAATTGCGCAAACTATATTTGTTATACGATTGTATGAGAAGAAGCGGTTGGTTGAACAGTGACGAGTGTGTGTGTGTATGTAAAATGAAGAAACAACTCGAAACAACTCTCGTAACGACTTCCTCTGACCTGTCGCTACCAAGCTGGACACAACACTGCCCTCTAGAGAGGATTGTCCCTCGCTTTTTCTAATTTCTCCAAACCTAGGTCTAACTTTTTGCTTCTTTTCCCTTTCGCAGCGAAGATTCCTCGAGCCTGCGATGATCCTTCTCGATATCAAACCTATCACGATCTGAACTAATTTTTCGTTATCATTTTGGTCGCTTTCTTGAGACCTTGTGATTAGTCGTTTAATACACGTACGATACATTTCTCTGAATCTCGATTCCTTTCATTTCCTCGTCCACCTGTCGTTCAATCAGTCGCGAAGCACGAACTCTTGAAGTCTAATGGAAAAATGGACGATGAAAATAATTCATTGGGTTTGATTGTTGCTAAGTTTCGTATTACTTTTGCGTAACGCGCTTCATACGCTCTCGCCATGATATGAAACGCATGCTCGCGATTCCTATTCGTTTAACGTTTCGCTTAATACGGCTTCGACATAACACGAAACGAATTATCCCGGTTGCACGAGTGTACATTATCGCATTAAACAAGGATCGGGGGGAAAATCGAACACTTAACGATTCTGTTACGTCGGCGATCCGGTATTTGCGTGAAACACAAAAAATCGATGGCACGCGGGAGTGAGAACAAGCGGGATAAGGGGATGAATCGCAATGACGGAGGGGGGCAGGGTGATCAGGTGAATTCCACGGGTGCAAAACGATTTATGAGAAGCGAACACCCGGCTGTAAAATAACACTTCCCATTCAAATCGGCAAATTAATGGTCGTTTTCATGGATTCTTTGTTTGCACCAGCCCGACAATGGCTCGCTGCTGGGTTATTATTCTGAAATACTACTCTGTCCACCGAGTCGGAGCAGAATCCCTGGAACGTACGCGGCCAGTTCTCACCTACAACTTTTTACTCACGGACGCCGCGGTGGCTGAATTAGAAACAGAGGATTTGCTCGTGGAAACGACTGATCCTTCGCTAATCGCGCGTCCAGGTGCACGGTTGCGTAATTTCACAGAAATTTTGGACACTCGCGAACCGTTCGCGGATCGAGCAAAATTTGAACTCGGAAAAATTCCAAAGTTTCATTCGTTCGCTGCAAGTACCCGTGTGCTTGTTCGTAAACGGAGTACCGCCGATCCTTTTGTTAAAGTCGCAGCGTGGAATCGGTAATCATCGGTGCGCGTGTGTATCGCGAATCGCGATAAGGTTCGTTGGCGTATTCGTTTATCAGTGGAACAGCAATATGCACGCAAAGGCAAAGAACTTTTTCTCCAGCCTTTCGCGTTTGGCTCTTTAGCCCGGCCTGTCTTTTCTGTATCGAAATTAATCCATGTCACTCACCTAGACGCATGGAAATCCTTTGACAACGACTGGGGTATCGATGAAAGGCCGTTGAAGAATCGGCGCATATTTCTGCCGTTCGAAAAGGTCCCGTCGCAGTCGTCGAGCACAAAGAGTCGCGCCGTTGGAAATGAAAACGCGAAAAATAGGAGAAAAGAGACGCGCTAACCGGAACACACCTAGGCTAGTCCTCGATTTTTCCACGATAACGATCTACCAACGCTGCCAGGAGCCTCGCATTCCCGGCAAAATGTTCAGAGTTATTCGCTATCGAAGACACGCTGGATCCTCGCGCGATCCTGCGAAATTGTTCGCGGAAAAGGATGAAAACGGAGGAAAAAAAGAGAGGCATCCTGAGACGATTCTCGGACGAGTTGCTGTGAAAGGCAAACACATGAGCCATTCATTTGTTCCGGAGCAGCTATATCCGCACGGCGGCCATTCATTTTACGCGCAGTTCCGCGCGTGTCTCGATGAAATAAAAGCAAATGCAGCTTCGCTGCGCGAAGAAATTCCTGAACCGGAATCGGGAACCAGCGCGAATAGGATACTCGTGGAAAACGAGGATTCTTTGGTCCGTCGTGGACCGGTGAAACGCGGCTCGATCGAACCGATCGAGAAAACGTCTCCTAATCGAGGATACGGAGCAGACCTGTTCGTTACATTTCCAATTTTCCAAGTTTACAAGCGTCTATAACGCGTTCTTCATTCAGCAAAATGCAAGGAAATGCAGCTCCGTGCAAGGAGCTCGTTCCTCGCGACAGACCCTTTTTCCAATCGTCGCATTTCAACGCTGCACGTTTATCGGATTTATAAACGAAGTTTATAGAATTTCGACCTCGCGGATTCACGAGCGAAAGGAAGAGCTTGAACGTTGAATATCTGGAAACGGAATTCTCGCGAAGCGCTGGAGAAGGATTAGAAAGCGCGACATCTTGGAGAAAATTAAGGAAAATAGAAAAGTCGGACTTACCTTGAACCGGTGTGTAGATGTTCAAGTAGAGGCAATCCTCGCTCTGGTTCCGCAGGTAGGGTAGCAGTCTCCTGAGGTACTCGAGCCTGCCTTTCGGCATTTCGTCACTGAGCTCGGGCAGCCTCTGCGGGCAGACGGGCCCGAATTTGTCGGCCACTTTAACGCCTTGCCAGATTGCACCGTTGACAGGTGGCATGAAACGCAAGGAGCCGATCGGCGGCGACGCGTACGGAACTCCGCGAAACACCTCGACGCCCTCGAGGTTCCGATCGAGGGTCACGATAACGCCCGACAATTCTCCGTACTTTGTCCTGACGACCCTCGAGCTGAGCTCGGCGCTGGCGGTCGCCAGGATTAGGCCGAGCAGCGCCAGGATCGACGACGTCATCTTCGTTCGCGCCCTTGAAACCCCGTCTCCACGCCTGCTCCGTTTCGCGATCACTCGAGCTCCACCGACGATTTCATTTCCCCGTGGAACCTCTACCCGCCAGCGGACGCTGAAACGCGCGCGATCGTGTCCTCCTCGTCGCCACGAGGATCGGCTGCGCGTCCAGGATGCATCAGTGGGCGATCGGCGTGCAAACGAACTCCGACTATGCTCGAAACGGACCACCCGAAGGTTCTGGCTTCACGGATCACCGGTCCTTGATAGCGGAGCCAACAGTCGCGTCATTATCGAGCTTTCCGAGTACTCCGTTCGGACGTTATCGTCGATGCAAGTTGATCGAGTTTGCCGCGATGGTCGTCGTCGAGGTCTGCTATCCGAACCGAGTCCCTTTTCGCGTTCCACGCTGTTTGTCTATCCCTCTTGGAAAACCTGCTGACGACCCTCCACGAACAGTCAACACGCGGCCGTAGACATGCCCGTGTCAGCGTTTCGAAAGATAAATACCGCGAGTTCGCTTTTCCGTCTACAGCACGCCTTCCTGTCTGTTAAGCCTGGCACGGTTTCTCGATGGTAACTCGAAAATGGTGTCCCGATTGCTCGGACAGGGGAACGCGACCGACTCGAGCTCCGGAGCGGTAATTGGCATGATTTTAAGAGTATCGCGGGAGTTATAAAAAGACGATCTCGTTCCTGATAGCATGTTTGATATGGCGGTACAAATAAAAAGCGCCCGCCCTAATGATGCCCAAGAGAAAGCCACGGCTCCGATGTTTACCGGCTCGCTTCATCCTTACGATCCAGCTCGTCGGAGCGGATAGAGGAGGAAGGAAGGCACCGGAAGCCGTCGAATTACGTCCACCGTTTTACCG